AATTGAATTTACTTAGATTGGACGAGAATTTTAATACACATTAACGAGTTCAGAAGTGTGGAGTGCACACTCTTATAACAATATCACAAATTCCGTAGCAGGGTCTGGGGGCGACAGCGCTTGTTAGCGGGGTGGTAGAGCCCTAGTCAGTTCAGAAATTTTTTATATTGGACATTGTTGCGGATTTTCATAAACAGACTTTAAAATAAACAACATTCGAATGTGTAAACTAAACATTCGAATGTAGGCAATATCCAGACTTCGCCCTTTGCAGAGCATCAATAATCATGCAATTTTTTTATGCAACATTCAAATGTTGAATAATGATCTACAGCACCACATGCAGAACATCGCGGAGCATTCAAATGTCTCAATGCAACACTCTTATGTTTGATGACAATCTGCACCCCTTGTGAAAGATCTGCTAACATTCGAATGTGTTGACATTCAAACATTCGGATGTTTGGCGATCAGACGTGCTGATTCGCACGTAAACTGCTGCAAACATTCGAATGTTTTAATAAAACATTCAAATGTTTGCTCGACAGGTGTGTTTTCACCAACAGTCATGTCCGATCAGTATTTTCTCTATATCAATAGAGACCCACTGTATGTTCGATATAATTGAACATCCATACTCATTCAAGACACTAACGTCTTTCCGATTGAAATATTTTGGTATACTGCGAAATAACTTTAATATGAAAGCATGTTTCACGCGATTCGTTTAGTCTATGAAGTCTTCTTCATGTTTCTTCGTATAGCAATGATATCGCACACTGCTATGGAGCATTGTTACCCCTTCCTAATTTTCCATCATAGAATACGGAATGAGATATTTTGTTTTGAGGTAGGGGTAATGCCTACTATCGATAGAGTAAGAGAAACAGAATATGATGGTTTGGTCAAGTCCACCATAGAGATGCAACACTATTACACTAGTGAAGAGAGTAGAGAGGATCAAGAGGAGAGGCAGGTCACACAATACGTGCAATGAGCAGTTGAGGTTGGACTTAATGGGCTTAAACCTCTCTAGGGGCATGGCACCTTATAAAAGATCCCGGAGATGGTGTACTAGGGCTGTAGAATACTTGCAGGGGCTGTGTGAGAGTAGGCTAGGAGTTATACGTTTTTAACTCCTCACGCTATGGGTCACATTTTTTATCCCTCGAACCTTACTCTTCTGTGATGTATACTACGTCTGTTTGATTTAGATCGGTTAAGTAAAAAGTTCAGAAAAACCTTAGTCTCAAACACGTACCTTGAGATGAGTAGCAATCTTTCTCATATTTTCAACATATTCAGGAAGTGGGACATGAGCATTCGGGCCATATAGGCCAGGTCGCATAGAATCATTGCCACCAAAATAAACAATCGCCAGAGAAGGTTGTACATCAGCATTCTGAAGTACACAGCCATTAATAAGAGAGTTGCTTTGTAATTAAAAAGTGAACATCACCTACTATGGATTTCTCCTTTTACAATCGCCAAAAATGAAATCAGCAACAAACATATGCTCACTTTTTCCTAAATTAAACATACGCCAAAGGATTTCAGAATATTTGCAGCTTCCAATCAGTCATGAAAATACCTTGGGGAAAATTTCGTGCAAAACTTGAAGAGCATGTCGCGAGTTCCAACCTTTATATCCACGAAGCACTATATCTGCCTATGAAATTCAATCAGAAGTAAGTTTTTAAATGTTAAGAAAAGTCCTAACTTAAACAGTTTCAAAAAAACTTGCTAAAACCAACTAGAAAAGGGAAAAAAATGTCTTGATGGACCAGTAAACCAAGTATTTATGGTTTTTTGGCTAAAAAAATATGTATATACTGGAAAGTGGGATACTGCTATGCAGCTAGCCATAGTTATTTAAGGCGCGATGCGCACCGATGCACCAAGGGGGTCTAGAGCCTCGATGCGCGATGCGCCATTAATGCGCACGCATCACGAACATGAGGCACAAGTTATGGAGTAGTAGCATAGTAGCTCTAAGTTTGGTAAATTAGCAACAATATATATGTGTGTGTGTGTGTGTGTGTATTATTGTGAAAGACATACGCGTAATAAACTTTCAGAAAGCAACCAAGAATCAAAGTCACACGCAGTACCAGTAACATAAAAAAACTTAAAGTTCAAAGAGAGCAGAAGCAAAATCATTGCGAGGAGGAAGCAAAGTCGACCCAGAGAGAAGAAGCCCTAGCGATAAAGTTGCAAACGAAACGAAGCCGCAGAAAGAAACACAGAGATGAAGCAGAGAAGTGAGTTTTGGCTGAGTCAACCCTAAAAAAAAAATAAAAACTTAATCCATGTTCGCGATGCGCGCATTTTATCGCAGCGAGTTGCATCACTTATTGCATGATGCGCAGGTATGCGCTCGCATAACAAACATCACTAGAAAGAATGCACAGAGCCCTGTGCCTCACATGATGCACGCCTCAGGCGCGCTTTTCACAACTATGCTGCTAGCTACAAAATATAACAAATAGACTAAATAAAAAAGATGCATTCCTTCCCTTCCTTTTCAGTTTTTATAAAATGTTAAGCAGTAAATGCAGCAAAGCAATAAGGTCTAACGGACACAGTTTCTCTTGGTTTTATAGGGCAAGGTTGAGTATATCTTGCTTCTTGATACCTCGATCCTCAATGGAATCGGATGATATTGGGTCTAATGTTGTTCTATGACCCAATCTTTGGTCAATAATTCAAGCCATAATCTACTACTCCCTCCGCCCCAGTCCAGTTTGACTTTTTCGAGTCAAATGGGATGAACTTTGAGCATCAATTAAATAAAAACCGAAATATATTTTAGCATAAAAATGATTTTATTAGATATATATCTTATTGAGAACTTTCAAAACTGTATTTCATTATACTAATATGTCATACAAATTGAGAGTAATTGAAGCTCAAACTTTGCCCAATTTGACTCGAAAAAATAATTCCAAAACTTCATTTGCGAAATCACTCAATTATTATACACTGACTGGCTACACGATGTATGCATATGCAGTGAAACCCTAGGAAGAAAAGATCATAGAGCACAGTCATTGAATTAACATCGAATTGAAGAGAATCAAGTTCAAAAGATTGAACAGCAGAGGAGAATTGAAAGGAAAACTGAAGGGAGGGAGGGTACCTTGCGTGCGTAGAGATCAGCGAGGATAGCACCCCAGCCTTCGTTGCTGTAGCTGAACTCCACTATGGACGACCCGAATAGCACGAACTGCGGGCGGGTCGGTCCTACCATCTCTGCAAAACTGCTCTGTCTTTTTTCTCCCCTGAATGAAATTTACAAGTTCGCTACAAGAGAAGTATGGTAAACATAATTATTATCTGATACTCATTTTAAAATAACGCATCACTCAGTCTGAAATAATTTAGTATTCATTTTTACATATTTATTCAATACAATTATAATATTCATCCACAAATAACATAGTGTTCATTCTGAATTAAAATTTAAAATAGTACACATTCTCAAATAACTTAATGTTCAATCTCAAACAAAATAAAACTCATACCATAAATAACCTTCTCTTACGCGAACCAACTGGACTAGGTTTTCATCCCACGCCTCTCCTCCCATTTACCGCAGCCCTCGATCTACACGACCTGACCCGTAACCTTAGCTGCTCCTTAAATCTTCCTTCTTCATCGTTTTCGCCGGATTTTCGCCACCATCGCTCCTCGTCATCTTCGCTGCTCCATCGTCTTCCGTCTTCGCAGCAGCGTCTTTCGTCTCCGCTTCTCCGGTGGCCCGACCCGGCAAATAGAGGAGCAGCAATAATTTCAGCGGCTTCCGTTCCATCTCATTCGTTCCTCAATTAGCCGGTTGTACCAAATTTTAGGTACAACCGGATGTACGATATAATTTGTGTCACTACAAGGGTTACTATCTCCTCAGCTCCCAAAGGTCGATGGGTTTGGGACATATTCAATACATGAAAAATTCTACTTGTACCGCATATTTGTACCCCATTTTGTACTCCAAGGTTTATCCCTGACATTAAATGTAAGTACAAACTTGGTATTATGCTAGTGTTGCACCTACATTTTATGTCAGGGTAAAGCTTTGGGGTACAAAGTGGGGTGGGGGTATACATACCTGAAGGCTCGACTCGGTACAAGGGGTTGCTGATCGTTAGAATTTAAAATAATTTTTCCTAAAATTTTTTGGTAAATACGAATTACTTCGTAAAATTGAATAATTATAAATTGTGTTTTTATAATTCAATACATCTACTCGTTTCATATTTAAATAATCCGTTCAAAGTTCAAACGAAGTTATTTTTAACACTCCGTAAATATTAGTGTAGGTTCCCTTCTAAAAAAATTTATAGTAAAGTTAAACATATCGAGTAAAACCTATATATTTAATGAACTACTTTGACCATATAAATACTATATAAAATAAATGAAATAATACTACTCTCATCCCAATCCCAAAAAAGGAAGTAAAAACAAGTTTATGTGATTGATATTAATGTTAAAAGTAAGATAAAATAAAAATGAACATGAAACAAACAAATATAACAAAATATGACCAAATATGATATTAAAAAACGAGACAAAAAAATTAAATAGGACAAAAATAACGAGTCGAAAAGAATAGTCAAATACATTTAAATCTACAAATTTACGGAGTAAAATATTGAGAGAATGAATGAGTCTATGTTATATCTCAAATTCTTCAAAAAAAGAAAGTCAAACAATATCAATGAAGAATAAGTTGCTCATGGGAGAAATAATACTACCTAAAAAATTACCAAAACTATGGGCTCAAATACGTAAAAGTGAAAATCATGAAACGTGACAAGGGAGAGTGCGAAGCCTAGTGGTAAAGCACAATCACGGAAGAAATAAGAGTGGAATACTATTTCGTTTTCACGTGCAAAACCACATCTTTCTTTAAATGATGTTATTAACAAATTCATATAGAAATGAAAAGTAAAACTTACATATCTAAAACCTACATAAAAAAATTGTACAAAACAAGTAATGGCAAGTATATTTTATTTTGTCAAATGACTAATGAAAAAAGACACGCAAACAAAAGTTATCGTGATGTCTTGAATAGTAAATAGGAATTGTTTTTCAAAACGGAGGGAGTACAAAAAAAGCCTCCCAAAATACAGCAAATTGGTTGAGTTTTCAAAAGGGATTTAAATTGCAGTGCATAATTACAAGGTTTCCAGGATGAGCAAATCTGAACCATATGGGTAGTTGCATAAACATAAACCATCTAATCCCACTGTGTTTGCCACTTGAATACAAAGTCAGAGACGTTTGCGGTTGTCCCATCCCGAACCGAAACGATGGTTGGGAAGACTTCAGAAAATTCAGTGGGTAATGACTTCCAATGCAGACTGGGTTCCCAATCAGCCTCCTTCAGCACCTTCAGTATTTCTTTCACCACAATCTTGCTTCCCTCTGACGTTAAATGGATTCCATCCCTGGCCACATATAGCAAAACTTCATTAACAGAGAGGGAAAATTGTTTATTAAGATGTTAAAACACAGAACGACTCACGTAAAGCAAGTAGTCAGCCAATCGTCCTTTTGCTGAAGTGCTGTCCATAAATCTATTGCCTTCACATCATCTAACTCTTTGCACAAGTCCACACAAGCGTCTGAATATTTTTGGCTCAACTTGTTTGATCGGCCAATGTCACTGGCCGCAAGAAGAAGAAGAAGAAGAAAATATGGTACTATTTTATTGCAAGCATTCAAGGGAGTCAAGAAAAGTGAATATTAATTTAGCATTTGAAAGAAAAATCACCCAAAAACTTCAAGAATTTGTGCCTCGTTCACGGGAGGGCAGGTTAAAAAGATTATCCGTGTCTTGTTTGACAGGCTCTGGTGGCAACAACAGAAACAACAGTAATTTACGATGAGTTACGTTTATAAAATGTAAAGAAAATCCTAACAACATTTGTCTTAATTGTGCTCCATGAGTAAATCTTTGTGTGTGCAACGTGGCAGTAGAATACCGAATGAGGTATATATCATGCTTTGAGATAGGGGTAATGCCTACTATCGATAAAGTAAGCGAAACAGAATACGATGGTTTGGTCAGTCCACCATACAGAAGCAACGACACTAGTGAAGAGGGTAGAGAGCTTTTTGGTTGAGAGGATCAAGAGGAGAGGCAGGCCACACAAGATGTGCAATGAGTAGTTGAGATTGGATTTAATGGTCTTAAACCTCTCTAGGGACTTAATGATCTTAAACCTCTCTAGGGGCATGTCTTAAACCTTTCTACTTGTAAATACATGCAATGGGCTGTGTGGAGTTGAAGGATCTCATGTGCTACCAATTCTCCTAAAACAAATTGGTGTTGGGAAAAGCGCATACCCTAGACTTATAGTGCATTTATTATACACAAGCGCTCATGACATTCGAGTGTGACTTGGCTCACATAGCCTCCGCCACGGGACAATAAATGCACTCATGGCCCACAAGAGTAGCATACGTTCTAATTCCTCACACTATGTGTCCTTTTGCCCTCCCACATTACTCTTAAGTGATATATATACTAGGTTTGTTTAATTTATGGTGCAATTGGGAACAGCTTCAGCGTTAAGCGTTTGCATTTTGAAAAGACGATCTAACAACAATGTTCAGCTGTAGTATTTTTAAATCTAATCTACACCATTAAATGTTTACTTGTAGCGTTTTCAAAATTAATCTACACTAAAATTTTATCCAAAATGATGACACTAATTGAAAACGCTATTCCCAAACTAGGCCCTAGTCCGAGAAACTTGCCTTGAGATGAGAAGCAATCTTTCTCATATTTTCAACATATTCAGAAAGCGGGACATGCTCGTTAAGGCCAGGTCGTTTTGAATCATTGCCACCAAAATAAACAATCACCAAAGAAGGTTGTACATCTGCATTCTGAAAGTACACAACCGTGAATAAGAGAGCTGCTTCGTAAGTAAAAAGTAAAGATCAGAAGCTATGGGTTTCTCCTTTTTCGATTTCCTAAAATAAAATCAGCATTTTTTTCCTAAATTAAACACATGTCAAAGGATTTCAAAGTTATCACAGACTTACAGCTTGCAATCTGTCAAGAAAATACCTTTGGAAAAATTTCATGCAAAACTTGAAGAGCATGTCGCGAGTTCCAATGGGTATATCCACGAAGCACTATGTCTGCCTATGAAATTCAATCAGAAGTAACCATAAATATTAAGAGAAGTTCTAATAACATAAACAGCTTCACAAAAACTAGCAAAAACCAACTAGAAAAATGAAATAGAGGACTTGACATACCACTAAACCAAGAACTTTTCCAATTTGATGAAGCATATTTATGAATTTTTGGCAAAAATAAAATGTTATCTTAAAATTAACACTAATGTTTTCAAAAACATATAAAGCTTAAAATTGTTTAATCTGCAGTCACAATATCAGGTTAAATGATCGTTGCCAGCACACTACTAGTTAGTATTAAAGTATCCTACATTGGAAGTTACCAAAAAAGTAATTGGTATATACGCTCGTGAGTTGAAGTAAGTAATTGAATGAATTCAATCTTTTAATCTGATTTAGTTCAAGTGTCTTATTCCTGAGTGCAGTGATCTCATAACCTGTCTCTTTTCTAGTACTATCACTCTTTTATTTGATTTTTATACGACTATGAGATTTCGGCAAGCTTCACATAGTTTGCCAAACCCATTTCGCGGAGACTAGCGTAGACCATATGAAGACGGCAAACTTTCCTGGAATGAGATGTATACCCAGGAGGTAATTTCATATACTTCCTCCCTCATATCACCATGGAGAAAAGCATTGTTTACATCCAACTGATGAACCTCCTATTTTCTAGCAACGACAATAGATAAAAGAACACGAGCTGTGACCATTTTAGCCACCGGAGCAAAAGTATTAGTATAATCAACACTGAACTAATGATTTCCCAACACAACCAACCTTGTTTTCTCACGCTCTTTAGTGCCATCGGAACGAAACTTGGTTCTGTAAACTCATTCACAGCCCAATGCATTATGATGTGGAGGTAGGGTTCTGCGCATTAGACAGTGTGATGCACGAGGCGCGTGCATAAGCGCGCATCATTGCATTTGTCGATGCGATCTAATGCACTATAAGGCGCGCATTGTGAACCCAGAGTTTTTTATTTTATTTAATTTTATTACGTTAAGACTAGGGTTGACTACTTAACTCGCATTTCACCGTTCAACTTTGCGTCTCTCTCCTTCCGCTTCTTGGACTTCGGCGACTTGCAAGTCTTCCACCCTTTAACGATTGTGTTTCTTCTCTTTCAGGTTAGTCGCTTCACTTGCTTCTTACTTTTCATTTTTTTTCTCGTTTTTAAATCGGTCTCAGTTTTTTTAATTGTTGGGGCTTCTGTTTTTTCTTCACCTGGCACTACTGCACTAGTAGCTTCTCATATTTTCTTTTTGTTTCTTTAGCCCACTTCAGTTTTTCAAATCGCTAGATTTCCATGTTTTTTCATGCAGTTCTGCACTTATGTTTCATCCATAAAGGAGGTATTTATTATGGGAAAGAACATGTTTTTTTTTGTTTTTGCAAGTAGCTATTTTGTTCTTGAACTTTTAGCATTTTTATTTGTCAATGGTACTATGTGTGACATTGATTCTGGGCTACTTTCTAAAATTTTATCAAGTCTTTCGAAATTGTATAAGAAATGTTTCTAATTTAGATGTGCTATATATTTTATAGGAATTGTTGGTAATTTAGAGGTTCTATGCTCCTTATGTTTCAATTTGCACCTCGTGTTCGTGATGCGCGCGCATTATTTGTGCATCGCGCATCGAGGCACTAGGGACCCTTTGTGCATAAGTGCGCGTCGCGCCTTAAACAACTATGGGTAAATCAGTGATTTCCCATGTGTCATTTTTCTCCAACGCTAGGATTTCTTGGGCCATCGTCTCATGCCAGGAAGCAAATTTAACTGCCTCTTGAAAAGTTTTGGGCACACTTGTTGAATTGACTGTAGCTAGGAACCCCTTGTACCTATCACACGAAGTTAGTATTAGGGAACTGTGTACCTGATGAAGAAGATTTGGTGCAAGGTGGTGTCGCCGAAGTTATAATCTATGCAGAATGAAGAATGTAATCCTGGGGGACGACGGTCTCGAGGAGGATTTTTAGGAGGGAGAGGGACGGTCCAGACTCTTACTCTTGGAACTGGAGATGCTGGAGTATCTGCCAGCGGAGTTGAAGGCTTGGCGTGCTCCAGCGGCGAATTTGACAAGGTGGGTGGACCGAGGTTACAGAGGTCGGAAACGGAATGGGGACGTCGGCCGGTGAGGGGCGACGTAATGGCAGAGACACGGAAAACCCCTGGCGATCTCCGGAGTCATACAAGCGTATGATCCGGGTCGGGAGTTTGACTACCATGTAAGTAATGTGTACCAGATGACAAACAAGCAGAATAAGGCCCCATAAATCACAATGGATTAAATGAAATATAATATCTGCTTTATTTGTGCTAGAGGAAAAAGACGTAGGAGTCTGTTTGGACATGAAACAAATCTCACAAGTATGTAGCTTCTTGACAAGGAACTTCTATTATTCATATTAAGAAAAGAAATAATAGCTGGGGATGGGTGACCCAAACGCTAGTGGAGGAGAACAACAGGATCAGAGGAAGACGCATGAACTTGAGAAACTTGACATGGACGAAAGATGTATACTCCATTACGTAGCTCACCCCAACCAATCTTCGTCTTCAATGTAGGGTCCTGCATTACACCGATGGCAGACGACATACCGGACTAACGGAAGATTGCTAGGGTTTGCTCTAATAGTCAGGCGACGTTTTTCTGATAAGACACGGACGGCGGGACAGGCACACCAACTTCTGTGTACTTAGGGTTTATGATGAGAACCCGAGGATCGCTCCAATACCATGAAGAATTTTGGAACTGAATGATTTACTTCGATTAGTTATCAACAAGGTTTATATACAAGAATACACGAGGCCCAAATGCATGGCTCATTAAACTAAAACAATAATACATAGAAACAAAACTAATGAATATATTCCAATAGCAATGTACTTAATTTATTGACTAGGATGGAGTATGGAGAAGAAAATACTCCCTCCGTCCTTTGCATTTCTCTTTTTTTTGTTAAAAAAAAAGAATCACACTTCTCCATTTTCCTTTTCAAATCTTTTTCCTTAAATTTTGTGAAATCAAACCATATACTCAAGTTGGCGCATACCTCGCCCCCAGGCCCCCACACCTTGGTCCAACAAAGTAGTGAGGTGGATAAATAATAGTTTAATCTGAGTCTTTTCTTAAGGGAAGCGTTTACGTGATTACGTCGTGTGCACAAAGAGCCGCTTTCTTGGATTAAGCATCTACACAGCCGCTGTCGGGACTCGAACACGAGATCTAGTACTCAATTGCCTCATTGAAGACCCGTCTCACCAATATTCCGAGTCAACATTTAAACCATAAATGATTAATCCTTGCATTGATTTTGTTTATCAATTTAACTAGTTGGGCGGCTTATATAAACAAAAAATGTTAGAGACAATTTTTTGTTAAAAATATACCTCTTCCGTCACCCTATTTTTGGGACTTGAGAGAGACGGATATTAGAAAAGTAAATTGATGTTGAAAAGTGAGATAAAATAAGAATGAATATGAACTTACAAAGGATTTGTTTCTATATACTAGTGCTTATTGACTTATTAATAAACAATTTTAACTTATTAGTTTTTTATTGAATATTTTTTTGTAAAATGAATTAAATAAGAGATGAGCATATGGATATATTCATAAAAAGTTAGGGAGAATTTTCTAAAAGTTTGGTCAAAACGGAGAAAAGAATCTACTAAACTTTCTCGACTAGCTAATAAAAAGCTTTTAAGTCAGCTTATAAGCATAGTTCAATTGGCTTATAAGTTACAAATAATTTATAAGTAGTTTTTGACCCGCAGAGAAACATCCACCATATAACCAAATATGATTAAAACGGACAAAAACTCCCCTAAAAAGCAAATACGGAGTAATCGTTTATGGTATTTTTAAGCATCACCCGTTCATAACATTGAAATGAAGAGCAAAATTGAAGCCATAGCCGCATAGGGTCCAAGTACCAGGTGCCACAATTAGTATGTGATTATAATTCAGTTTATCGTTTCTCAAGTCAGGGTCTATTAATATTTTAGTATAACGGGAATGATATTTGATCAATGTTAGCATATGGAGTAATAATCATAAAAGAAGTTTGGTGGTGCAGAGTGGTGATATGTTGAGTTTTTGTTATAATAAAAGTCTCATTTTGCTCCTAAGCACGTTGACGAGGATTCCAAGGGGGCACCGCCTCCTTGACGGGGGTTCAGGAGGCGGCAGTCCCTGGCTATTCTGTGTTAAAAGTTCACTTGGATTTTTATTTTCAGATTTCGTACTTAACAAAATCTGAAGGAGTGTGTCTTACCAATTTGCGCGAATAGACACAATCATTGGAGAGTGTTGCGAACAACAACTCTTCGCCCTTCCCCGCTTCTATAAAGCTTCTCACAAGTTTGGTCATCATAGTGGTTCGAAAAATCATCAAAATTCTTCTTTGTTTTATAGTTCTCTCTGAATTGCATTCGATTGAAATATTCGTGTGAACTGACAAATAGTTTCAATCTAAAAGTGTCTACATGCTTTTCAGAGAATCTAAGTACTAATTCGATATTTCTAACAGGGCTGGCCTAAAGATGGGTCTAAGATGTTCTACCGGCCTGACCCCCTCCAACATTATATATATATATATATACACACACACACACACACACACACACCCACACACTGTTTTTTCTGATTAAAAAATTTAAAAACTTAGTTATTTAAGGTAGCTATTACGACATTTAATTATCATATTATAATTTTGTTTTGTCTATTACTATACTATTAACTGTTGTTTTAATAAAAATAGTTTATACTTCGCACAACTTAACTTATTACGGCCAAGACCATTTTTTTCATCTCGTTTAGGGTCACCTTAACCTCGGGGTCAGCCCTGTCTCAAGTGATTGGCCGGCCAGTTTTGAGGGGGCCCTCGGGATGGGTTCATCATTTTTCTTTTTTTTCTTTTTTGTTTGAAATGAAGAGGAGATAAACTTCTCTGTTGCCTTGAATGCTAGGAAGTCCACTTCTCAGGGGGGATTAATGGAGAAGTTCACCTAGGTTTGAGCCCAAGCGAAAGAGGGAGGCATTGACTATTTATGCATCGCTAGGTTGGGAATATTATGACCAGATACTATTCGGGCAATAGCACTAGGTTGAGAATATTATGAACAGTCGATAACACTAAAAAAAGGAGAGAATTGAAAGCAAAAGGGGAGGTACCTTGCGTGCATAGAGATCCGCGAGGATAGCGCCCCAGCCTTCGTGGCTGTAGCTGAACTGCACTATAGATGACCCGAATAGCACGAACTGGGGGCGGGTCTTCGTTCCTACCATTTCTGCAAAAGTGCTCTATCTTGTTTTCTCCGCTGGATGAAATTAAGTTCACTCCAAGTCTCCAACCGCAGCGCCGCGTGCCGGTTATATACCGGCGTATACTTAATGTAGAAAGCGCATCAGGAAGACTTTGCTGGAGGCGGGAGGGACCCAACCTTGACTCCACAACACTTTACCTCCACTTTCCTTTTTCCTATTTTTCTTTCATGCTCTGGGATTGACCGATTCAAAGGCTGTTAAAATTCAAAATTTCTAACCAGTACTTTTACTCAGTGCATAAGATGTCATTAAGGCTCCGTTCCATTCAACTTATTTTTTTCTTATCTTTATTAAAATTCAGATTAGATAAGATCATATCAGATCATATCAGATCTCATAAAAAATTATTATTATTATTATTAATATTATTATTGTTGTTGTTGTTATTCTTAAAAATGAAAAAAAATAAAATTTAGAAACAAGTTAAATAGAAAACTAAGAAAGTAATACTTAATTATAAGACGTCGGAAAAATTATTTTTAAAATACATTGACAATGTCAATCTAATTATACTTTTAAAATACATTTTTATTGCTACCTGTAATTTGAGTTTCTAAAGTTTTGATATTTATAAGGATGACATATTTTAATAAAAATACTATTTCTTCTATATATTGATTATCTAAATTTAATTATTTTTTAATATATATATAAATTAAGTATTTATTTTAATGTATATATGAAGTAATTATTAAAATATTAAATTAATATTCTAATTTCACAAAAAAATAATCATAAAATAAAAAAATTATTACATTATAATATGAATGATTATTCTAAGATATGAATTAACTAATTTTATTTTATTAAAAAATAATCATAAAATAAAAAATATATATTATATTATAATATGAAGTATCATTACAATTTTCAAATGTTATTATAAAGTCAAATCAAATTATTAATTTAAATTTTAAATCAAATCATAATTTATCAGATCTGATTGGATCTGATCTCATCTGGTCTAATCAGATGAGACTAGATCAGATTAGATCAGAACTACAAAAAATCAGATCAGATCAAAAAAATAAGCTAAACGGAACGGAACCTAAATGAATTTTTGTTGGATTCTTTACTTTTTTCGATTCTTCAAAGTTCTGTTTTTTGGATATTCTACAAAGTCAAAATTTATATTTTTTATTTTTTATTTTCGTTACTCATTTGATAAAATAATATAACCATGTTACCTATAGTTTTGTAGATTTTTTGATATAATTTTTGAATGCTAATCTAAAGAACCGCGATTGGAATAGCCAGGTTTGTTTCCAAATTTGAAATTAGGTTTTTTTCCATACTTGGATTTAGGTTCCGAATTTATTTGTTTCCAAATTTCGATTTTAATTTTACTAAATTAGAATAGTTCTTGATTTTTTTTCTTTCATAAAATTCCATTTTAATTTCGACTTGGGTTGGTTCAAATTTCTAGCGTAAATTAGTTTCCAAATTTTGAATTTAATTTTACTAAATTAAATTAGTTCTTGATTTTTTTTCTTCCAAATCTTGGATTTCAGGCCACCAATCGTTTGTCATACTGTGAAAATTTGGGATTTTTTTCCGGAAAAAAATTAGAGGAGTTGGAGGGTGATGCTGATTTTGTTGTTTGTGTTGAACTGCAGCCAGTGGTACTCCAGGTGTTTTATACTCCGTATGTTTTGCTTTTAATTTGTGGAATGGTCTCTTTCAACGTAGACAGTAGAAACTAGAGGGCATTTTTTTTTCTGTTTCTAGCCGTCCCAGTGAAGCAAAGTAATGGTCTACCAAACATGTTATAAAGTTACTGACAATTGTTGAAACTTATTTGTTTAACACTTGATAAAGAGCTTTCTATCAAAATGTCATCTTTATAAAAGCAACCTATGAATCCTTCCATTTTAAATTTATACTTGTGTTTCATGCCGGATTTTGAGTTAAAATTGACTGTACAAAGCTTTTTTTTTACGAATTTCACTACGTCTTTATATATAATCATATACCGATTTGGCAAGTAGAAAGTATAATGCGGAGTAGATTTTTTAACAAATTTTACTTTGGTGTAAGCTACAATTATGAATCATGGATTGATTAATAGCGGGATTCAATACCTAATTTAGATTCGTATTCTGCATAATTAGATTAGGGAAGAAAGTGAAAGAAAGCAACCAGATTGTTGTCCAAGCATCGGTTATTCTTCGAATAAAGTTTAATTGGGTTTCAAATTGCAGCCTAGAGGTAATTTTAATTCTTGATTTCTTCCTAGCGGAATTACACAGTAGAGGCAATTTCACTTTTTGATACCTTCTTTATTTCTTCTTGGAGTTCTTTTTCAAATTCATTTTGACAAATTAGGGATTAAGCAGCAATTAATTTCATACTTGAGGAAATAATCTAAACAAAGCGTATAAAAAAACTCTGTAGTAAAAAATTAAACACTAGCTTCTCTAATTGATTAACCCCATGTTGGGTGAATGATGATGCTGAATCAATTGAACTATGAGGAGGTTTGTCAACTACGTAGTACTACATAATTCTTCTCAAGTGTTTCTAACTATTTCTTGAATATTTATGCATCAATCAAAAACTAATGTCTGCATATTTACTGTGTTATTCTTTACATATATAGAGTTATGAAGATGTTACATATTTACGATCATTTTGGCGCAGAGATAAATGTTGGGAAACTAAGTTCTACCCTAAAACGCTTAGGATTCAGCTCTTCTTCTATTCCACAGATGATCGGCCAGGACGAAAGTATTGCTGCGTCATCCATTTTTTTTTTTGCAAAACCGAAATGTAAGTTTCTTTAAATCTTAATTTACACTTATTACAGAAAATAATGGCTTATTTAGTCATTCAAGCTTATTTTAGGCGTATTGCTTTCCGAGCTTCATAATTTTTTTCCATACGTGTCAATGACCATCCATCATTTTTCGAAAATTACTCCAACGAGTGAGTGTTGGAGGATCATGGTTCGTGTTGGAGGATCATGGTTCGTGTCATAAGACTATATACTTTACCTGTTTTTAATGATGAGAAGACTACGAATTCTATTGCGATGGTGTTCATGGACGAACATGTAAGTAAAAGTATCGTAATTCACCTATATTCTTTCTCATCAATTACATTATGCCTATTATTGGATAATATCTTGAATGATAGTTGTTTCCATGTATGACGTTAATTGAACCACATATTACAACCGCTGTTGCACAGATTACAAAATGAGTTTTGTTAATTCGCATTTCGTAGGGAAATCATAAGAAAGTTTGAGTTTATAGTTTCTTTTATTGACGATTCTTTTACAGGTTTCAGATGAGCATTCTTAGATCTAATATGATTCACTCTTAATGTGATTGTTTCCCCAAGATTTTTAGTTAAATTACCATATTGCTGATATACGGATAGTGTGGTCTTATTTGTTGCCTGTGGATTATAGTTTCTTTCATTTATGAGAGTTTGATTCGTGTGGATTTTAGTTTAATATAAAATTTGATATACTGTTAGTGTGGTCTTATTTGTTGCCTGTGAATTATAGTTTCATAGAATTCTGAGACAAAAAGTCAATTAGCAAGCAATATTTAACATACTAGAAAGCCAAAATCATATGGAGCTGGTTTAACCCCGCGATTCAAGGTATCCATGTATGACGTTAATTGAACCACAGAGTTAATTGAATTTATATCTGTTAGTATCTAAAATGTCAATGTATTGTTTCAAGCTACATGCTGTCCAAACAGTGTTTAAAAGATGTATATTATTTTTACAAACTTACACACTCAGAAAAACAAGCTTAGCAGGCCAATAAGAACATAGTTGCTGCATGTTTATACAAGAAATAGATGCTTCCTGTTTATACAAAATAATCTTGGAGACTATTTATTGAAAAATCAATCCTGACTCAGTGCATGATTATAAAATCATACTTGCTGCCTGTTTAAGTAACTACAGACACTGCCGTATTATAATATCTTACCACTTATTGCATGTGTATACTTGATTTTGTGTGACTTGCTTTGGGAATCTTCTAACACGAGTAACAAATTTATATTGTTATTTCATAATTAGTTGTTGCTCACTAGAGTTGAGGCAATCGGGAAAATACTTGGTCAATATCCAAAAAAAGAAAGAAGACAAAGGGAAGAAGTGCAAAAAAGAATGACAGGTGAATAAGCTTTAATATGTTTTCAATTTTCTATGTTTTTACCTACTCTTCCAATTTTATGAAGTTATATTCATTTTTTGAAATATGTTTTTTTGACAATTTAGTTCATGTATTGTTTGATTTAAAATGACTTTGGGTTTATATGTATTCATGGAGCAAAAACTAATGATTTTGGCTTTGGTCAAGGTTGCTTTGATAGGAGATGATAGTATTCTGAAAAATGTATATTTTGCTTCACCGTTTTGAATGTATCACGATTTAGATCATCCTAAGTCTTCAATTTCATATCTCTCCTATACACACAAGCAAGATGTTTTATGTGGCAGGAACAGTTTCACACGTTCTGAGTATTTCACGACTTCAAACATCAGTTCTAGGCTTCATGCATCACGATATTATAAACGGATACTCTGTGTTAAAAACAGCCCCAACCTCTTAATATTTCAAAAATCAATTTCATTCGCGTCCACCATCCTACCACTCAAGCAGATTGTGCGAGGAGAGTGCACGACCAACTGTAAGGTTCAAAACCCTAGCACACGGCACAACAACGAGCAGAGGCGACAAAGGAGGAACATCAATGGCTATCCTCCTTCGACACACATACCATGAAGCAATGATTTAAATGAAGAACGTCGCAGATCCAGAAACATCCATGTTCTTCTCAGAAAACTGGTATTTTTTCAACTTTCTATTTTGTTTAAGAAATAGAAAAATACGATTTAGAGCGAGTATATGATTTTGTACGGGTATTTTCGTTACCTATTTGGCCCAAGTTGAAACAATAACATAATTATGGACTTATGGTTTAGAACCAGTATATGATTTTGTCTATGTGGACTTTTAGTGGATTGTTTTATCTGCCAATAAAATTGTGTTCAATAAATAGTTTGCCGAGTAGG